GACCGCAGAAGTTTCGAACGAAGCACAAGTTCAAGGGAAGGCGGCGTAAAGCGCCCCGAACGACGGCGACGAACGAGAACGCGCCTACGTGTGATAGGCCTGACGGCGGCATCGACGAGTGCGCGAGCGACAGTGGCTGCGATGAAGGGATTGACGCTGCGCTTTCTTTCGTCAGTGCTTCGGAAAAGAAGCTCGGCTTCTTCGAAAAAGACGAAAGACAGCGCGATGAGGTTTGTGCAAAGACAGTTTTGTGCGACACCCTCTTGCTGACGGCACTTGTGGCAGGTGCGGCATGCCCTGCTTGCGGTATTTAAAATAAACTTGCCATTCGGGAGCCGGCAGAAAAGCGCAAGGAACTTTCGTCGCTCCTCGAACTTCATTGCGAAAACAGCGAATGCTCAGCGACTGTTCTTTCATGCTCCTATACGTCACTGCGTGTTACGGCGGACGGCAGCAGCCGAGTGAGCCAACGGTATGACAGTGGGAGCTCCCGAGATAGTTTCGCTGTAAATGTGAAGGCGGTGGTGGCTGCACGCGCTGTCGGCATTGGGCATGAGCAATTGTCGAGATTTTGCTCCATTATTGGACTCCCAAAGCCAACGCACCACCGAGGATTTTTTTTTCGATAGCAAAGAAGGTGCACACCGCTGCCATGGCAGCTGTGAGTGAAAACTTGCACCGATCCAGAGAGTTGACGAAAGAAGTAGCAGGCGAAACTGATGTGGCTGTTATGTTTGACGGCACTTGGCAGAAGAGGGGCCACAAAAGCCACAACGGGATTGGCGCAGTTATCGCCTTAAATACTGGCCTCTAGTTAGACTTCGAGGTCATATCAAATTACTGCCCGACATGCAGTAGGCACAAGGATATGGGACCAGACGAGGAAGTGTGGCAGGCATTCCATGGCCCAGTCTGTGAAAAAAATGGAGACTGTTCCTCCCATGCCATGGAAACGGAGGCTGCAATGCGCATTTGGCAGAGAACATTGACTTATGACACCCCACTGCATTTCATGACATTCTTGAGTGACGGTGACAGCAAAGCATATAGTGCAGTTGCAGAGTCAAAAGTCTATGGTGCTGTCAATATAGAAAAAGAAGACTGCACTAATCATGTGGCCAAGAGACTTGGCACCGCGCTACGGAAGCTGCATGTGCCATTACCACGAGGGCAGAAAATGAAAGAGCCAGCCATTCAGAAGCTCCAAACATACTATCAGATTGCCATAACAAGCAACAGGGGGAGTGTACGGGATATGTACACTGCAGTATGGGCTTCGTACTTCCACTCATGCTCTACTGACAATGCTGGCAGCCACAAGTTTTGCCCTGCAGGAACAGAGTCGTGGTGCAAACATCAACACGCTAAAGCACTTGGTGAACCTGCACCACGCCACACACCTCTCCTGACAAAAGCACAGGGATTGGCTGTTTTGCCCATTTATAAGCGGCTAACGGATGAGAAGCTCCTTGCTCGATGCATCAAAGAGAAAACCCAGAACGCATCGGAATCCCTGAACAGCAAAATTTGGCTACTTTGCCCCAAGACTAAGTTTGTCTCCCGAACGATTGTCGAGACTGCCGCAGCTATGGCAATCCTGTGGTTCAACAAGGGTCATGCTACTTTCGAGCACATCCTGGAAGAGCTCAACATACTGCCATCTAGAGATCTAGTTACTTTCAGTGATTCCCGCGATGCGAGGCGCATCAAGAGAATGTACGAGCGTCTGACAGCAGAAGCAAGGGCCCACCGTCGTCGTGGAGTGAAAAGGGCACGGCTAGAAGAGAGTGCTCGCAAGGACTGTGAGGGCACAACCTATGCAGCAGGACAGTTCTAGTAACTTGCAGTGCTTTTCAAAGTTCTGTTGAACATTATGGCCAAAGATTATGCATTTCTAACAACTCTGTGATAAAAAAAAGGTTTCAAACTTTCAAATGCGTTTTTCTCCTTTTGCAGTTTTGTGTGATCTGTGCTTCTTATACACGCTAGTTCGTATACTTAGAATAGTCATACCTCTATGAAATTTTGCACATAGCATGATGAAGGCCTATAGAGTGCAAGTATCTATTCAGATTGTCAGTGCTGCTTGATTATGTTTTTCAAAAATTACATAACATTCAAAGCCCTTGGCAACTAGAGCCATAGTAAATTTTTCTATTTTATTATTGTATTTCACCTTTTTACACACAAAATTTATATAGTTTTTTGCACTCTACAGTTCCAAAGGATCATAGTCAGCTATATCTGCATGCTTTATCTCAAATTCTTATAGGTCAGAATTGTCACATAACAATGGCCATAATTTTGCAGTATCTGACCTGCAGAAAGAAAACCAAGTGATCTACATGAAAATAAATTACATATTTGAAAAGAGGAGAAAAAACTCTATTAGCATGCCAATTTGTGTTAAATTCAGACCCTTATTAAAGAAAATAGTTTTTCGAGTAGCACCTCCCCTTAAGAAGAAAACTGCAGACGATCGCCATCAGCCCAATACTGACATCCTATGCCTACCTTTTGAGGGCTCCTGTTGAGTGACGAACGCTACCACTATGCCCGCAACGCCCACAAGCTTTCCGTACGGTATTCTAATTTTCAACTATTTGCTTGCACTTTTTGTGTCTCAAATCAATCTTGCTTTGTGTTGAACCTCTGCTTTTATTGTCGAGGTAAATTTTAATTAGTACTTCTCAAACCTGGCTGTTAGTTGCTGTAGTGAAAATCCCGATTTGCGGCCACTTGTTTTCTTTTCGCTCTGTACCTTTTCGTGGAAAGTTTTCCCCCGCGTGATTCTCGCACCCCCCCAACTTTGCATCGGTTTTCCGCCGAAAAAAGTGCGAGGACTATGCGAGTGAATACTGTATTGCATTATGAGTGCTTTATTTCCCCTCGATATGTACGGCCGCAGAGTCCAGGAAGTCGGCACGCTATATTCTAAGTGGCGGGATTCGTTGACGATGCACAATATATGCTGACATGCTTAGGCTCAGTGACGACAAATCAGCGCACAACGTGTTCGGCCTTGCATTTCGGGGGTAGACACGCGGCGAGCACACCCGGTCGGTTCGCAGCCGATGCACAATATGTCCAACCGTTGTTTTAAAGCGCCATTGGGAGATTTCATTAGTTGCTTGCTACAAAGCACATTGTGGCTAGTCCACTGGCGTGATGTCTTTGTTCACAAAGTTTGCATTCCGCTTGTATCAGCATCGTGAGCGGAGCTAGCCAGGCTTAGCCAAGACTCCGAGCAGTAAACTCTGCCGCGACGCCCCCTTATAATAAAAAAACATGTCTCGTTCGATTGCGAGTACAAAGAGTGGTTCTGCAATGCTCTTCGTCAGGAAGTCCGAAATGCTGCACCTGTTCTGTCTGACAGGTCACAGTCAGAGAAGAATGTGCCATTATCGCATTCTTGTAATTGAGCTCTTGCTTGCACCAGTCTGACAGGTCTAACTACAACACAATTCTAAATGAGTGCCTCTGCAGTGCAGACAGAACAGGTGCGCACACATCACTAAACGGCGTAATTTTCGACTGCTGTGACCTCATGACGCATCAAGACGCAAAATGCAGACGCATTGTTCCGGTTCGCCATTCGCCGAACCGGAACAATGCATACACAGCCAACAAGGCATACACAACCAATTCGAAACAACAAGGCATACACAGCCAATTGGAGGCTTCGAGACGACCTTCAGACATTTGCTTTTTGCGCACTTTTTTTCGAATGGAGGAGCCAGCTGAGACGCGGAATTTGAATGCAGAGAAACGCTCTTTCCAACGAGCCCTAAGCAACGAAGCCCGGTCGCGCCGTTCCGGAGCTGAAATTTTCTGAGAATCAACGGTTTTTTTTTTTTTTTTCGTGATTTCTGCGATAATTCTCGCCACTTCGGCAAGTGCAACAAAATTTTAAAAGCACTTCCAGACGGTTTTTAGTAGAATGGAATGGAATGAAAAAACTTTATTTCAGTGCTGCAGGACGTGCTTAGGACGTAGTGGGCGTCTCCCACGTAGGGACCGACAGAGAGTACCTGGCGGCCGTTTCGTGGGTCTGCTGGACGGCCCCATTGCTGGTCGGCGAGAAGTGAGCTCCTGAGGGACCTCTTCCACTTGTTTGAGGTAGAGTCGGGAGGAGTTTTTCTACACTCGCAGAGCATGTAAGCGAGTGTCGCCATGTGTTAACATGATGGGCTGTGTCGCTGGGGTATGGTTCTTAGTGGAGATATTTTGGAATCAGATAGAAGAATGGTTGCAAAAACTGAAAATGTGGTTTTAAAAAAATTATCTTTTTGGCCACCTTTTCCTATACAAACACCGCGTCCTCCCTTAAGCAGTGATACAAGAGCAGCGTGCATGATACAATGTTCAAGTTCGCTGCCAGGAAATCAACAGCGACAAAAGTCCACCAAGCTAGTGCAAGCCCTCGTAGTGGCAGCTAAGGCGAAAGCTCGCATCGGAAAGCCATAAAGCCTTTAAATTTGCGGACAAGGTAGCAGACACGATAACGACGACACTTTATCCGACAGGAAACTAAATGCGCACTTGACAAGGACGAGATCGCATGTTTCATGCAGAGTGCGCACGGCCAGAGCCGCGCCGATGCGAAGGTAGTAAACTCAGACACCCTCCGCAACAGGCCTATTTCCTCACTCTGCGAGCCCGTGGAGCTGGCACGGCCTTTTTTCTGTTTCTTTGCTACAGTTAACGTAAGAGGGCATACAATTGCAAACGTGCGAACACGGTGCAGAGCTACTGGTCACGGCTTAGTTCAGGGTGCGCCTATTATGCGAGTAAATACAGTATCTGCAGGCTTCACTGCATTTTAACAAAGCCTGGATAATTTTGACACTTTAGGGAGTTTCATGGCCAGTTTCACGACTTTACAAGATTGGTGATATTCAAATTTTACTTGAGACCGATCGCAGAAAATGAAAAATGCTCATAACTTCTATGTCCCCCCCCCCCCCCCCGAAGCCAATACCAGTGTTTTGCAGGCTCACCGTAACTGTGGGTAGGTTTCCAGTGACCGTCTTGACCACTTGTTGGCCAGTCGGGGTTGTGGCTATGACTCTGATCTGTTGCTGACCGGACACGCCTGGCGTCCGAGTACGCACCAATGTCACCGTACCTGTACATAAGGCACACAAGCAGAATGTTCAGAATTGATTATGGCAGCACACTGAAACACGGTGCATAAGAATTTTAGCCCAAAATATGTGCTAGGTGTAAATGACGGGCTAATGTACAATAAACACTTTTTAAACACCAGGCTCCGTGCCACTTTACTCCATACAGTTGAACTTCTTGTTAAGAGAAAGTGATGGTGTATTCAGTTAGGCGTTCATGAGCGCTCTGAAACGTAGCCAAGCGTTCAGGAGGTAGAATTTGAGTGCTCGGACTAAATTCGGTTGGTTCTTTCGGAGCACTTTTGTATGCTCAGACTTCAAAGTGAGAGCGTAGTGCGATCTGACCGGGAGGGCAGATCACATGACACAAACCAGCGGATCACGTGGCTGCCAGCAGGTGAATCAGATGAACAGCGCCAACAGCGCAAGCGTGTATTTGGGAAGAGGAATCACCAGGCGCATAATACTTCATGCACGTGCATTGTTAGCGGTGTTTCTGAGCGTGTGTGGCGAATTCACATCTACAAAGCCATAAATGCACTATGTCAATAAGAAGGCGGCTAGAAAAAGCTGAGGAAACGTCAATGCAGTCATTACTGCAGCTCGCAGACAGCCACGTTTTGTCTTGAAGATAGCAGCTCGGACAATGAGAGCTGCCAGTTTTATGTGGCAAGCTCAAAAGTGTCGCTGCATCCAGCTCTGTCGGAGATGTCCACTAAACAGATTGGCGCCGTTTGTCAATGCGGCGCAGGATGTTTACCCGGCAGCTTCCCGCACTGGCTGCATGGTGGCGCTACAGGCACGCTGCTCCGAGATCGCCAACGTATTCGGTTGGTATGCTGCCTCTGGACCGGCATCTGGCGACTACTACTAGCCAGACGACCAAAGCGGTCAACCGAATATGCCATGATTCAAGAGACAACTGGGAATAGAAGTACACTGCACAAACAGTTAAACCCCTTTATTCTCCGGGCAGCAGTTTTTCTTTCATATGAGATGTCTCTTATAAGCAGGGTACCCCGTATGCACTTTCTTATGAACCCACATTTTACTGCAGGCACGCTGATGTCTCTTACACCCATTTGTCTCTTATAAAGGGGTTTGACTGTATATCAAAATAGGGCATTAACTACAGAAAACGATAACGTGGTACCCTGCTTAGAAGAGACGTTTCCTATAAGAGACAAGAACTACTCCCCTGCATGTGTCTCTTATAAAGGGGTACAGCTGTACAAACATGCCAAATATAACGAATTATCGATTATAACAAAGAAAATAAAAAACAGCTCTGTCACAGATACAGCACTACAAATATATGTTTATAACAAATCTTCTCATGCCAGATGTGATTTTGTTATAAGGTTTGAGTGTATGCAAATGTACACACAAAGATAACTGTACATTATGGGCAGAAACATTTAGTCTAACTGTACACTCAATCTTAATTTTAGAAAAGCAGCACACCCACAGAGTTAATGAAAACTTATTTACACTATCATTCTGCTAGTCCTACAGTTCTTTATCAGTGGGCCCCAAGATGCCTGACTCAGCAACGTATCATATTCTGCATTTTCTTAATGGTTTGAAAACTAATGCAAACATGGTTATGGCCCTTGCTTGTCCCAGACACTTTGCCAGTTTGTACAACGAGGTTTTCAAAATTTCTGAATACCCTTGCATTCTGTTGTAGATGCATTTCACTGCATTGCATTCCATTTGCAACCACTGGTTTCGGCAGATTCATAGTCGAATCTCATCAATTCGAACACACTTATGTCAAACTCACGATGAGGTCCCGTCAAAGCTACGTGTATTCAAATTGGCGAAAACGCCCGGTGCGATGATTAATTCGAACATACCGTGCTACGAAAATGCCCTCAGCACCTTGCCCAATCCTGCGTTAGCACCTCGGACACAGCAACGCTGCGCGCAAAGGAAAGAAAGGGCTGCGGTGGAATGTTTGCTCTTTCTCAAATGCCGATCTACGACAAGTCTGTGCCACGCTTCTGTCTTTTCCGTCCCTGCCATGTAAAGACCCTTCTCCTTTCAACGCCGCACGCGAAGAGAGGGAAAAAAAAGGAAAAGCTGTCCTGGGGTTGCATGAATGTGTGGTTGAAGGAAAGGAATAGGACACTATGTTCTGCAGCCCTTGCCCTTTGTGGGAGCACGGCTCTGCGCCTTCAGGACGGGGGAGGGGGGTTCCTCACGCGCCGGTGCCACGCTTCCCCCTTGTCCGTCCCTGCCACGTAACCCTTCTCCTTTCAACAATGCGCGCGAGGAGAAAAAAAAAAAAAAAGCTGCCGTGGAGTGTCCTTCCGTGGAGTCCTTCCTCCATGGTTTTCTCTCAAATGCCGATCTGCTTCTCTCTGCCTGGAAGCGCTCCTCCTTTCTGGTCACATTCTGGCCACGCTGCGGCTGTGTAGCTACGCAAAAGTTTTTGTAGTCGTCTTTAGAGAGCGTCGGCGCTGGACACCGCACGCTACTTCTTTTGCTAGGAGAATGCTGAAGCCGAAGTAGAAATGCTTTGCAAGCTGCGTGCAAAATTGATTGACTCGCTGCAAGGCAAACGTGTGCAGATGCTTATCACCAATTACAGTTAAACTTGGATATAACGAAATTGATGAATTCCCTGGGAAAATTCGTTATAATGAGGATTTCGTTATATGCAGCTTCGGCCCGAAAATTCAAAAAATAAACTAAAGGAGGACTGAAGGCAGAGGTAACCAAGAACACTTATTTTACAGTAAAAAACTGCAATATTATTGCAACAGCGATTGTATGGACATTCTGGCAAGTTTTTGCCGTCGCCGCCATGTTCCGTAACATGCCCCCACGCATCGAGCGGGTAAACTTTCACGAGCGGGTAAAAAGCACGCGAGCGCTGCTGAAGCAGAGATCAAAAGAGTCGGCACACCCCGTGTTGCCTGGAAACTGCATAGGATAACATTTCTCGGGTGTTAGAACTGCCATCGAATGCTCAAACAGAAAGTAAACCACCCGTCTTGAACGAGCACTTGTCCTTAGAGCGGCCGTATTTGCTCACACCAGCGTTTTTTAAAAGTTCTGCGATATCGGAGCCAGTCTGATTTCTTATAACATTACAATTTTTGCTATCACATTCATAGCATTGCATTCAAAGCACCGTCGTGTCACCAGAACTAATCGGCTATTCGTGAAAGCTGCCAGACTGTGAAATCGCGGCGCGACACAAGACAGAAGCGTGTTACGAGCCGACCTCCGAAGATATGTCGTCACTGTGGTCCCGGAGAGTTTCCATCAGCGCCTAATCTGACATCCCCGCGGTGGTGAGGACACGGTCGTCCGAAACTAGGAAGTCACAATTTCGCCTCAAGCGCGAAGCAATGAATGCGATAGCAACAACTTCGAATGTAATGTTGAAAACGGCAAGCAGATCGAAACGTGCAGCTCACGGCTCACGCACGAATGACGCACACACAGGACGAGAACGAAAACATACACAGGACGAGAACGAACTAACAACGTTTATCGCTCGACACTTAACACGCTGTTAAACAAAAATGAGGCACATCACAAGTGCAGATATGAGTGCCAACTAACAAGTGCCCCAGGTAATTTTGCTACTGTGCTGTCTGTGAAAAGCGCACTCTTTTCGCAGACAGCGCCTGCCCAGCGAGCGAAGGGATCTTTGTGCAAGTCCAAGGTGCCCAACTTTTCCCACCAAAAGATAAGCGCACCCATCCCAACTCACTCCCTGGACAAAGTACACGTTGGACATAAGCACAGGAAGGTGTAGGAATTTCCCCACCAAAAGGTAAGCGCACCCATCCCAACTCACTCATGGGGCAAAGTACGCGTTGGAGATAAGCGCACGTCATCACATTGTGACGAGCTCCAGGGTGCCCAGCGCCGGCAGCTTTTTTTTTTTCTTTCTTGAGTTTCCATATATATATATATATATATATATATATAATATATATATATATATATATATATTATATATATATATATAAGAGATATAACAGACAGTAATGCCAAGGAATGTACAGGGGAAGTTATTAACATTAATGGAATGTAAATAAGAAGAAACGAAAAGTGGATGAAAAAATTACCAACTGGTAAGCAGGCTTACAGTTGGTAATTTTTTTCATCCACTTTTCTTTCTTCTTATTTACATTCCATTAATGTTAATAACTCCCCTGTACATTCCTTGCATTACTGTCTGTTATATCTCATTATTATTGTGTTAAAAACACGGAAAAAACGAGCCCTTAGGTATTACACTTCTTTCCCTTATTTCATTTGAACGAGGGTCTCGTACTGGCAGACTTGGTGTGTTTAGGTTGTATAAGAGGGACAATTAATCAGCTGCCCGCTCATAATAAGTTCACGTGCTACGTGACGCCAAACATGCGCATAAGAGTGTTTTCACACTCGTTGTTTGGCTTATAGATGGCGCTGACTGTCGCTCCTACTTCTAAATTCACAGATAAACCCAAAAAAGTGGATGGAGGGAGTGCCGCTGTAATAGCTCAGTGGTTAGAGCCTCGAACGCGTAATTCGAAGGTCGTAGGTTCGTTTCCTGCTTACAGTTGGTAATTTTTTCATCCACTTTCTTTCTTCTTATTTACATTCCATTAATGTTAATAACTTCCCCTGTACATTCCTTGGCATTACTGTCTGTTATATCTCATTATTATTGTGTTAAAAACACGGAAAAACGAGCCCTTAGGTATACATTTCTTTCCCTTATATATATATATATATATATATATATATATATATATAATATATATATATATATATATATATATATATATATATATATTGAGGCGATCTCCAAGTGTGCGCATCTCGACTAGGAAAAGACGTCGGGCCCTCTACGTTTTGCCACAGACCATACATTCCCTCGCTAAAGATACGCAGATATGTTTGAATGAAGGTAAAGCAATTGGTCACACCATTTGCCCGGCTGCTAGATAGTGAAGAAGGTGTGGCTTCTCGCATGCCACCGCAGTGGCGC